TCGATTTGCGCCGCCCAGGTGAGGGAGCAATCGAACGTAATCCCCAATATCCGGACTTCGTTGACAGGTGTCAACCACTCTGAGTTGAGAGACACTGTTTGAAGATGAGGGACTCGCTTACGACATCGGCGGAAATAAATTAGTTGAGTTTTATTAGGGGACAAGGCCATGCCATTGGCAGTAGCCCAAGTCTCGATGAGGCGAAGGTTATAGTTGAGACGGTAATCGGCTTCTTCTTGGAGATACCCGACGCTCCAAAGGCAGAGATCATCTGCATAGGCGGCTACTCCGGCAAGCCTATACGCTGGATGAGTTTGCAGAGAACAACTCTCGCTGAGCTGCTTTATCAAGGGATTCAAGTAGATAGTCCATAATAATGGAGAGGAGATACAGCCCTGAGGTAGGCCTTGTCGCTGCTGCCGAGTAGCTGAGCGCTTTCCATCGATTTCAACATAAAAGAGTCGTCCCCGAAGGAACGCCCATATCCACGAACATAGTGAGAGGTGTATGCCTGTGGCTAAGAGTCGGTTGTACAAGATCGACAATGTGACAGTATCATATGCTTTGGTCCAATCTAGAGAGATGAAAGCTACCATGCGCCCTAAACTTAGATGAGACTGAAAAGATGAATGTAAGTATGCAACGTGTTCATCGAGACTCCTTCCAGGTCGAAACCCGTGTTGATGTGGGTCAAGACAACCAGTTAGAGTAGGATCGCGCTCAAGTTGACACTCCATACGATAAACCACCATTGCCTCTGCGATCCGACCAAAGATGTTGGTGATAGAGATTGGTCTAAAATCCTTGAGGGTTGCCGCTGTCGAAGATGTAGTAGTTTTCTTGATAGTAACGACACGAGCTAATCGCCATGCCGCTGGTACCTGTGTAGAAGAGAAAGACTTACTTATGAGGCGTAGTAGACAACGCTCCAACATCGCAGTTCCATGTTGCAGAAAACGTGGAAGGATCTGATCTGGACCACACGTTGTCTGATAGTTGAGACGTTTGAGTGCACGAGTCAATTCAGCTGGTGTAAAAGGCTGTGATTGAAGCCCCTCCGCTTGCATGTCATAAGGTGCCGTCCACTGTGCAAGAGGAGTTGTCGCCGACCAGTGCTGAGAGTGGTGTTGTTGTGCTCGACGTCGTTGTTTGAAGAGTGACCAAGTTCGTTGCATCCATTGTTTATTGGTGCCGATCGATAGTCGGGTACTGTAGACCTCCCCAGATAGATAAGTTGCATATCGCTCCGCCGCTGCATGTCCTCGAAGTCCATCAATCACGATAGAAGGCCGTGTGGTGCTCCCAAAGGCTAGGGTACGTACTGCTCGCCACCCGCGACGTGTTGCGAGAGGTAGTGAGTGGGTGAACTGCTCCCATTGATTTCGCTGAGCTTGACGGATATCTTTCGCATACTGTCGGGAGATAGCCCAGAACTCCCGTTTGAGTCGGTCCCACGGTAGTCGGCGTTTACGACGGACTTGAAGAGTGTGGCGTATGCGATTCTTCTGTTTACGTAGGACTTCAAGCTCGCTTGACCAGTAGGGTTTGTAAGAACTTACACACCCTCGAGGGATGTGGGCCCTAGCCGCCCGGACGATGCTTAATGTAATGGCAGAGTTGATAGCATCAACTGAAGCAGACCATGGAACCTGTTGAAGATTGTCATCGAGAGATGCCTTGTATCCTGCCCAATCTGCCTTCGAGAAATTCCACTTATTGGTTCGTTGGGGTGGCCGAGTAGATGCATCGAACGGAGATCCCACATGCCATGAGATAGCAAGGGGCATATGGTCAGAATTGGCCAAGGCATTGTGCAATATGTCTCGATGGAAACCAGCAGCTAACGGGCGTGATACGGCCGCAATGTCGATAGTCGAGGACCCTTGGTGACCCATAAAAGTGGGTAGATCATTGGCATGGTGTAGGACGCGAAGGTTGTTATCGTCAAGCCAGTCACATATAAGTTGGCCCCGTAGATCTACTGGGGAGCAGCTTCATCATCCCAAGTTGGGTGATGTGCATTGATGTCACCAACCACCAGGCA